ATGCACAGCTGGGGGTTGCAGGGACAGGAGCTGTGAGTGAGGCTGGTGAGGTTCAAACCTCTGTGCTCATCCTCTCCAGGTCCCCCAGAACCTCAAAGGTTAGCCGTGACCATCACCATTCACAGATGGGGAGGCCTTGAGAAAGACAAGACTTGCCCAGGATCACACAGGTTTGGGAAAACAACCCCATCACTTTTCTCCCTAGGCTCACTGTGTCCTCATAATGTCCTGGAGAGGTTGGTACAAGCAATCAAGTTCTACAAATGGGGAAACTGAGGCTCAGCAAAGGGAACTGGGTCACCCAAGATCACACAACCTTGAAATAACACCTCAATTTAGGGGTCGCCACTCTGTACTAGGTGATTTACAGAGTGAACCTCAAATCCTTCCCACTCTCCTACAGGAGTCCACGATTACCATTTTACAGATGAGAGGCTGAGGGAAGTGAAGGCACTGTCTCCTCATCCCCATGCGTTCTGTGGGCATTTCCTGTGTCCCCCAAGCTTTCATGTCCACCAACAGAGCAAGGGCCCCAAGCTTCATAATCCCTGACAGTGACCCACCTCCCCTTCCCTGGACAGTCTTGCAGTTCCAGAAGAAGCTGCCCTCCTGGGTGCCTAGGCCTGGCTACCCCATAGCCGTAAATGGAAGACAGGGCTCCTGGCAGCCCAAGGGCAGAGTGTAAACTCTTGCTCACATGAGCCCCAAGCCCCCTCTAGGAAACAACTCGTCTCTCCACCCTCCTCCTGGCATCATGATGTTGGGCACAGGGTCTGCTGGGCTGCAGGAGGCCTGATTTGCTCCGTCCTTGTAGACAGTGAGGAGGACCAACACAACACGGGGGAGGCCCAAGTGCTCTGTGTGTGCTGAGACACGCACATCAAGGGCAGGCCACACATCCTAGGTCTGCAGGATCTCTCTGAAGGAGGGTGAAGCCAGCCCTTCCTGCCCACAGGACTCTTCTGCTTCTTTTCAGTACTTAGTGTAGAACTGAAAATTCAAGAGTTTAGAATGAGCAGGTTGGAGCATTTCTCACAGTGACATGCACAGCTGGGGGTTGCAGGGACAGGAGCTGTGAGTGAGGCTGGTGAGGTTCAAACCTCTGTGCTCATCCTCTCCAGGTCCCCCAGAACCTCAAAGGTTAGCCGTGACCATCACCATTCACAGATGGGGAGGCCTTGAGAAAGACAAGACTTGCCCAGGATCACACAGGTTTGGGAAAACAACCCCATCACTTTTCTCCCTAGGCTCACTGTGTCCTCATAATGTCCTGGAGAGGTTGGTACAAGCAATCAAGTTCTACAAATGGGGAAACTGAGGCTCAGCAAAGGGAACTGGGTCACCCAAGATCACACAACCTTGAAATAACACCTCAATTTAGGGGTCGCCACTCTGTACTAGGTGATTTACAGAGTGAACCTCAAATCCTTCCCACTCTCCTACAGGAGTCCACGATTACCATTTTACAGATGAGAGGCTGAGGGAAGTGAAGGCACTGTCTCCTCATCCCCATGCGTTCTGTGGGCATTTCCTGTGTCCCCCAAGCTTTCATGTCCACCAACAGAGCAAGGGCCCCAAGCTTCATAATCCCTGACAGTGACCCACCTCCCCTTCCCTGGACAGTCTTGCAGTTCCAGAAGAAGCTGCCCTCCTGGGTGCCTAGGCCTGGCTACCCCATAGCCATAAATGGAAGACAGGGCTCCTGGCAGCCCAAGGGCAGAGTGTAAACTCTTGCTCACATGAGCCCCAAGCCCCCTCTAGGAAACAACTCGTCTCTCCACCCTCCTCCTGGCATCATGATGTTGGGCACAGGGTCTGCTGGGCTGCAGGAGGCCTGATTTGCTCCGTCCTTGTAGACAGTGAGGAGGACCAACACAACACGGGGGAGGCCCAAGTGCTCTGTGTGTGCTGAGACACGCACATCAAGGGCAGGCCACACATCCTAGGTCTGCAGGATCTCTCTGAAGGAGGGTGAAGCCAGCCCTTCCTGCCCACAGGACTCTTCTGCTTCTTTTCAGTACTTAGTGTAGAACTGAAAATTCAAGAGTTTAGAATGAGCAGGTTGGAGCATTTCTCACAGTGACATGCACAGCTGGGGGTTGCAGGGACAGGAGCTGTGAGTGAGGCTGGTGAGGTTCAAACCTTAGCTCCCCGACCGCCCTCAAAGCAAGTTCCCTCTCTGAGCTTCAGTGTCTTCATCTGTAAGAGGGGCGGCGGATGGTCCCTCTCCTACAGCACTGGTTATAAGGAGAATTCGGCCCAGTTGCCACCCCTGGCTCCCTCCCTGTCTTGCTCCTTCTCATCCGGGGCATCATTTAGGCCAACAGCAAGGCAAGGAGGAGTGAGTATGCTATTAGGAGTTCGCAGATCTGGGTCCCACCTGAGCCACTTATTAGCAGTGACGTCTAGTCAAGGGATGCACCATCTGGGAACTTCAGTGTCCTTCTAATATCTGTAAAATCAGGATAAAGCCACCTTCCCGGCCTACGTTCAGGGATGGGGAAGGGGATTTGATGGCCACAGCATCTAGCAGGGAAATTAGGCAAGATCTACCTCATTTAAGACACATAAACCCTCTGATGCAGCAATGTCACTTCCAGGGGGCGTCTCCCACCTGAGGAGGATGACATGTGTGCAAGGTCATCCACAGCGGGATTGTTTAATAGCTCGAGGTTGGGAACAACTTACATCTCCAGCAACAGGAGACTGTAAGATACATTTTGGTGTCTCCACTCAGTGGCACATTCCACAGCTGTTCAACAACGGAGCAGCTCTCTATGTCCAGACATGGAATCTTCATATGACATTATAGGGCTGAGGTTTGGGAACAGTTTTCCAGCCACCAGTGGGCCTCAGGGTCTGAATGGGAGGGACACTCTGAACCTTTAGGAGAGTGATGAAGAGGAGAAGTGTTGGTTCCTGCTTAGTGGCCGTGTTCTAGGAGCTCTTATTCAGCACCTACGATGTACCAGGCTCTTCTACAGACACAGTGTCTGACACCAGGGCAGGAAGGAACCTCCAAGGAATCATGGCTTGGGCTCTGGTCTCGATCCTGTCCTTAGCTGGCCCTGTGACTGTGGGGAAGGTCCTTGTCTTTTCTTGACTCAGGCTGTCATCTGCAAATGGGGGTGTGAGGGGAACAGGAGGGTACTGTGTGGCAGATCTGAAGGTCCTTCCTGTGTGAATGTTTCAGGATTCAGGAGTTAGTAAAAGGATCTGGGGCCTCCAGCAGAAAACCCAAAATAAGTATCTTTGCTGCTTCCACGGGGGAACTCTAAGCCACTAACATGGGAACCTCCTCCCTGAGTGAGAGACATTCTGAGATGACCCAGCCCTGCTCGGAGGCTACAGTGACTTGTGAATCGGTCCCTGAATCACACAAGAGTTTCCCAAACAGACTCTCCTCCCACCAGGGCCATCAAGTTAAACAGTGAATCTGTGCCCCTTAGGAATTTCTTTTCAATATGACGTTTCTGAAGAAGAAATAAAGAAAACCCATGCCCCTGCTCCCTGCCCTGGACAGATTTCTTCTCACTGGAAGGCAAGAGAAGGTAAACTTGGTGAGAGAAGAGTTTTCTCCAGTTTATTCATTGCTGCTTCCACAGCATCCAGGGTCAAACCTGGCACACACGACCACTCAGTGGTGCCTGCTGAATAGAGAGAGAAGACTCAGCCACCCTGAGGGGAGGCGCTGTCTGGAGGCAGCAGGGAGGGCTGGCCTGTGCCTAGGCAGGTCACTCAATCTGTCAGCTCCCACATCTGTGGAAACAAGGGCTGGGCCAGACTGGGAAAGACAAGGGCTGTGGAGCCAGGCAGACCAGGGCACACACTTTTGCCACCATCTAGGAGCAGTGGGGCCCTGAGCGAATAGCATGATGTCTCCTGCTTCATCGTCCCTGGTCTGTAGGAGGGGGTGACATCTGATCACGCCAGTGACCAGCCATCACCACACCTGATTGTTGCTCAAAGCACGGAGGGTGTTCTTATTAACTTCGTGTCATTCACCAGGGACTGAAGGAGGCCCACGCTGTACTCACCACTCACAGACACCTCGGTGCCTGGTCCAGACTTGATCTCCACGGTGTCAGGACTTCCTCTCTGGAACTTGACACAGAAGTAGGTGCCGGCGTCTGCTGGGGTGATGTTACTGATGCGGATGGAAAAGTCCGTGTTGTTTCTCTTTGTGAGGTCTGAAACAGTTGATACCCTGGCGACATGGGTTCCTTTTTGTTCAAAGATTAATTCCCGGTCTTGTCCAGCTCCTTTGAACCACTTGATGGGCCCCACAGGGAGCAGGGAGGTCACCGTGCACTGCAGAGTGGCCGACTCTCCAGCTGCAACCGACACGGACTTGTCAGGCTGAATCACCTGCAGCTCCTGACCTGTCACCCCTGGAGGGAAACAAAGCCATCATTTATTCATCCTTACGTCATCCCATGTTTCCTCAGGTGTTTATCAATGACTTTTTTTTTTTTGAGTCAGAGTGTCACTTTATTGCCCAGGTTGGAGTGCAGTGGCACGCTCACAACCACCACAGCCTCGACCCGCTGGGCTCAGGGGATCCTCCCGCCTCAGCTTTTCAAATAGCTGGAACCACAGGCATGTGCCACCATGCCTGGCTGATTTTTTTTTTATTATTATAGAGACAAGGTCTCGCCATGTTGCTCAGGCTGGTCTCGAACCCTGAGCTCACGCAATACTCTCTCCTCTGCCTCCCAAAGTGCTGGGATTACAGGAGTGAGCCACTGCGCCTGGCTATCAATGACTTTTATTGACTGAGTGCACACCAGGAACAGGTATGGAGCTCAGCACAGAGCATGGATTGACAAGCCTGCAGTATGAGACTTTTCCAAATGAGGAAACTGAGGCATAGTGACGTGGCAGAGAGCAGGAAGAATCATGTCTGAGCTGGTCTGGAATTCTAATCTGAGCTTACCAGGAAGAAGGTGGACCCTACTGTTCCTGACAGAGAGGCTGCACCCAGCAGTCTGGACGGTGGTGAAGCAGGAGGACGTGGTTTGGGTCCTGGCTCGTGGCTCACAGCTGTGTGACCCTGGGCCTTCCCTTAGGTAACTGAGAAGATCCAGCGAGGACTCATGTGAGTGTGCATGACAACTGCCAAGTGCCATGTGAGTGCAAGAGCTGCCTTTACTTTGGGCAGATCCCTTACTGCTCTCAGTCTTGGTTTCCTCCTCTGTAAAATAGTTATGACAACCCCGCCTCCAGGGATCTCTGGGAGTACCAAGCAAGCTGTGGCTGGGGACAATGTCAAAAACCAGTGACTGGCCTTTGGAGTCAGCAGATCCAGTTTGAAACCTGGCTCACCCCTTATTCACTTAGGACCCTTGTTGACCCATCGGTTGGTTTTGAGTCTGCTTCCTGTCTATGGGATGCTTTGTTCTGAGAAGAGGAGATCACACAAAAGCCACTTAGCATGGAGCTGGGCATGGGAAGCTGTCGTTATCATTCAAACATTGAATAATCGGGGAGGGGGCTGTTGCTCAAACACCACTCCCCCCAACCCTTGCTGGTGTCCTGCTGGCCAGGCCTCTGCTGGATGAGGGGGACACATGGGAGCTGGACCTGGCCCAGGCCATGAAGGCTCTACCAAAAAAAAAATAAGCCATAGAGGTTGGCTGTAGGGAGGGGACTGAATCCCAAATCAGAGATCACTGGGGCATGTGAGACAAGGACCCCAGGCAGAAAGATCAGGGGCTGGAGGGGAGGGCATGGTCGGGAAGGTAACCAGCAGGAGGAGGTTGCCCTAAGATTCTCAGGGACCAAGTGAGAACAGTTCAGAGTCAGGCACAGCCCGGGCCCAATTCTGAACAAGGTGGAGGAACAGGGGATGGGAAAAGAAGGGAAGATCGTAAGACCTCAGGGAAACATACACAAGAGATAAGAGACAGAGGAAGAGAATGAGATGGAGTGGGGAGAAAGGAGAGAATGGCACAGAGACAGGAGTGGAAGCTGCCTCGCATGTAGGGGTCGGGAGGGCTGGGTCTCCAGTTGGGTTTTCCACTGACCCCCAATGTGACCTTGCCCTGCCCTGGGCCATCTTGGCCTTGGACATCAGCAGCAGATGTCCCGAGCTCTGGCTGGCCAGGAGAGAGATCCTGGAATCTGCCCACCAGCCTGTGTCCTGGCACTGCCCTGCTGTCAGGGGCAGGGCAGCCGAGGAAAGAGAGACCCCCAGACCCCAGTGTGCCCTCACTGCACCAGTCCTAGGGCCGCCTGCACATTGCCCTCCTCTGTCTTCTCTCCCCAGCTTCGCCCAGCCAGGGATCTCATGGAAGGTGAGCAGAGTCTCAGAGCACCAGCCCGATTCTCGAGGTACATGGGCAGTAACAGAGCCCACGGGGGGCAGGGCCTCAGGCAGCCCGAGAGGAATGGGGCTGGCAGCCAGGTGTGTGAGAGACCCAGGGAGGCAGGCAGCCACCCAGGGACATCAGAGGCAGCACCAGCAGCCGCCAGCAGCACTGAGCCAGGACATAATCAAGGGTGTGCATCTCAGCACAGGAGCCTGGATGAACTGGAAGTACCACTTGGAGGAAGCAGGCGGCTGGGGCCACATGACTGGGTGAGAGCTCTGTACCTGCCCTCCCTGCACCCCTATTCCATCCGTACCCATCCCAGCACAGAGATAAGGACCATGATGTGGTGGTACACCTGCCGTACAGGTGTTGGCTAAACTTCAGTTCCTAGCCCTACTACCACAGAGCTGCATCATCATCATCATTATTATTACTTTGAGCTGGAGTCTCACTCTGTTACCCAGACTGGAGTGCAGTGCCATGCTCCTGGCCACCGCAGCCTCATCCTATTGGGCTCCGGCCATCCTTCCGCCTCAGCCTTTCAAGTAGCCGGAACTACAGGCACGCGCTACCACGCCCAGTGAATTTTTGATTGTAGAAATGAGGTCTCGTCAAATTGCCCAGGTGGGTCTTGAACCCACAGGCCCAGGCAATCCACTTGCCTCGGCCTCCCAAAGTGCTAGGACTACAGGCTGAACCACCACAACTGGCCAAGCTGCATTATTTACGTATTTGATTCCCTTTGGACTGTCCTATTCCTGATCCCAGGAAGCAGGTCCGACAAGTGACCATTTCCCACCTCCTGCCTAGAACAGTGGTGGACACACACTGGGGTGGTGATAAAGATGGGTTGAATGAATGCATTCACAAACGAATGCAGGCAGGACGGCGTCTGCTCCATGACCTGGGTAAATCTCCTCTCCCAGTCTGCTTCTCCATCTGTGAATTGGAGCTAATACATATCCTGGAGAGGGTGCAGGCCCGTAGCCTGGGACAGATCCTGGCCGGCAGTTATTATTATCCTTATCAATATCACCATGCAGAGCTGTGAGTCAGCAGTTGGTGAGGGAGCGGGAGGTGCAGGGGAGGCTGCGGAGTCAGGCGTGCGGCGTGTTGGAGCAGGGCTATTCTTGTGGTGCAGCCGGAGGCCTGCAATCACACCCCGGGCAGGCGACAATAAAATCTGGAGCTGTGTAGGGCTGGCTCCCCCATTTTTTTTTTAGCTCCTCTCAGGCTCACTCCACCAACTGCAGCCAGATTTAGGCAGCTTAATTAATTAGCTAGTGTTTATAAAGCGTTTGAAGAATTTTAAAAGTGCGACGTAAGTGCCAAATATTATTTTAATCTGTGTATGTGTGTGTTTTTTTTCCAGCAGAGTTTTTTTTTTTTGCTTGCTTGCTTTCTTTTCTTTTTCACTGCAGGTTCTGTTCTGGGAAACAGGCTTGTTAAAAATCACTCCTGTGGTTCTGGGCCTGGGGTCATGGGGCTGGCATTGCCAACCAAACCATTTCCTGCTCTCCTGATGTCTTCCTGGCAGAGAGTGCGACTGTTCAGGGGCCTGAACCGGCTCTGGAGAGGAGGGTGGCTGGGCGGGCATTCCCACGCACTGCTGGTGGGAGGGGAAACTGGAACATCCTTTTGGGAAAGCAGTTTGGCAGGTTGGACCAAAGGTGTGAAATCTGCTCACCAGACCTTGCTGGGCTGCTCATGAGGACGTAACCCTAGATATGGAGCTTCCCACATAACAATCTTTAAAAAGTTGGAAAAAAGCCAGACGGCCAATGAGAAGGGATGGTTAAGTGAATTACGGCCTATCCCTTATGTGAAATTACAGGCAAACATAACAAGCCATTACCATGAAAACTGTGGTCATATAGAAATGTTCGTGGCACAATTTTAAACAATATTATGCTTATGCAAATAAAACCTGTTCACTGCAAGGCATTTAGAGGGAACAAAAAAATATAAAAACAAAGTAATAATCTCATATAATGCCATCAAAGATAACTACAATCTACATTTTGATGTAGCTAGAATATGAGTGAAGAGAAGCAATGTAACAGCACACCTTCAGATAACTAAAGATACGCGCAGACATTCTGCTTCATTCATTTAAGCATGCATATAAAAATGAAAAACTGGAATTATCCTAATACCCAAGGAAAGGAGATTAGCTGATCCCATTGCAGTGAATCCACCTGAGGGCCAAGTCCACAGTCATGAAAATGACGGTATAGAATCACAATGGAAATGTGTTACAAGATCAGAGTCTACTCCAAGTGACAGATTCAACAGAATTCCAAATTTCCAGTTTTGAGGAAAAATAAGTGACATTCAGGATTAGCAGTGACTACTTTTGGGTAGTAGATTTATATGCAATTTTGCTTTTTTAATGTTTTCTGTTTGCATTAATTGTGCAAGAAAAAAGATAAAGGAAAATCTGTACTTTCTATATTATTATGACTTTGTAAAATAAAATATAAAATACAGCAAGGTACTGCCACACAGAGCTATAAAATACAGCTTGCTTTGGGCCATGGATCTAAAAGTGAGGGGGTTTTCTCTTTTTCTTCCCTTCCACATTGGATCTTAGTGAGACTCTCTAAACTGGATGAGCACTAAAGGATATTTACAGTACCTTATTTTGTTTAAGAACATCTAGACATGTAATATGTACGTAACATATAAGGTGATGTTTGAAAGAATCTCCCAGGCTGGGCTCGGTGGCTCAGCCTGTAATCCTGCATTTGGGAGGCTGAGGCTAGTGGACTTCCGGCCACTGCACTCCCGGCCACTGCACTCCAGTCTGGGTGACAGAGTGAGACTCCAACTCAAAAAAAAAAAAAAGAAAAGCACACTTCTGACTGGCTCGGTGGCTCAGCCTGTAATCCCACGCCTTGGTAGGCCAAGGTGAGTGAATTGCCTGTGCCCGTGGGTTCAAGACCCACCTGGGCAACTTGGCAAGACCTCATCTCTACAATAAATCAAAAAAATTAGCTGGGCATGGTAGCATGTGCCTGTAGTTCTAGCTACTTGGAAGGCTGAGGCAGAAGGATCACCAGAGCCCAGCAGGTCGA